TACCGTTTCTGGGTGTCAACGAAGTCGCGTGTGGGAGCTCCTCCCTGTGCGAAAACGGATAAGGTTCGCGAATGGAGATTTGCTGATTTGGTTACTCTGGAGGAAGATCGAGCGATGTGGATGGGATGGGATGGGGACCCGTCTTGACGGGTCATGCCCTCTTGGTTTTCGCGATTCATGGGGGTGTTCTTTCGACAACATCGCCATAGGGTAACATAGGAAAAATAATGACGCTCGTCACAAGCCCTTGCAATTTGTTGGCCTTCCTTGCTGATTGGATGGGAACTGGGTCCCAGTGGTAACCGAACCTCGACTCCCAAGTTGATTGGGCGCGGCGAAACGCAATGTTCCAATGCCCCAACCAAGGGAACAGCCATGGGGAACCTTGCACCTCACCACACGCTGCTGTCACCAAGTAAACGGATGACAATTCAACGGATCTGGAAATCTAATATTGAAGTCAAGAACGCGAGTGTATCGTGTCACTCCCCACCATTCCGCCATGCCGCAGCGCCGCCATGACGACGATCTCGCCGCGCCGCTGCTTCCCAACGCGCCGTCCTCGCCGCCCGCCGCGTCCCACGTGATCGCCGCGCTGCCGGTGGCGGCGGGGCGCAGCGCCGCGTCGCCGTCGGCGGAGCACATCACGGTGGCCGTCGTGCCGCCGCGCGCCGTCTACTCCACGCCCTTCGTGCAGGCGGGTGTCGCCGACGTCGCGGGCGCCGCCAGCACGCCTCTCGCTCCCGCTTCGGCGCTGATCGCCGCAGCCAGGGGGGAACAACGCGGCTCTGGCTTGGGGCTGGCGGCGCTGGCGGAACCGGTTGCAGGGGAAGGGGAGGGAGAAGGGGGAGGGGGAGGGGGAGGGGGAGGAGGAGGAGGAGCGGTGGGGGGAGGAATTGCGCAGGCGGTGGGGGTCTCAAGGGCGAATGCGGGCGGGGATGGCGGATCCGGCGCGGGCGTGGGGAGTGAACCGGCGGAAGGCAGGGAGAGTGGCGAGGGAACGTCGGGAACGGCGGAAGGCCCCGTGCGAAAGAAGCTGTGGCGCATCGCGAGCGACGACAGTGACAGCGATGGCGAGAACGACAACGAGCATGGGAACAATCATGGCGACGCGGCTGCAGCGGGCGTGGGGAGTGAGGGGAGACAGGGCGATGGAGCGGTTCCCGAGGAGGTCCGCGGCGGGGCGGGAGGGGATCATCCGGGCAGCAGGCGCAGCAGCAGCAGACAGGGGCGCGCCAGCACAGACGGGGGCGCCGTGAGGGACGCGGGCGCCAGTGAGGTGGGCGGCGAGCAGACGAGCGCAGGCGCGGAGGGCAGCAGGCGGGCGGCAGACGAGGTGGGGGAGTCGGGGGTGTGTGGGAGAGCAGCAGCGCCCGGGAGCGGCGGTGGCAGGCGCTGCTGCGGTCGACATCGTCGTACCACTACGGTTGGCAGCACAGCACCGCTCTCAGCACTGACTCATCACACTCCACCGCTCTGGCATTGGATGACGCGAGGCCGCACAGCATGAGGGCGGATGAGTGGGACGAGGGGGACGGTGAAGGGGCGAGGGGGAGGGCGGGCGGGGAGGAGGCAAGAGGCACAGCGGGCGGCATCGTGGGGTGGATGTTCGCTGTTTGGCATGGCATGGGTGAGATGGGATGGGCCATGGCGTAGTGTGGCGTGGCACAGCACGGCATGGCATGGATGGGCAGATGACATGGGGTGGGAGGATTTGGCTGCATGGACAAGCAAGTATGAAATGAGGGGATCATGGATGCAACGCGGCATTGAGCTGTGCAAGGCAGCGAGGTTGAGGGAAGCTGCCGTGTTGAGTGAAAAGAGTAGTGGATGGCCTGGCATGGTGAATGGCTGACATGCCACATGGCATTGTGTATGGCACGACATGCCACATGGCATTGTGTATGGCACAACATGCCACATGGCATTGTGTATGGCACGACATGCCACATGGCATTGTGTATGGCACGACATGCCACATGGCATTGTGTATGGCACGACATGCCACATGGCATTGTGTATGGCACGACATGCCACATGGCATTGTGTATGGCACGACATGCCACATGGCATTGTGTGTGGCACGACATGCCACATGGCATTGTGTGTGGCATGACATGCCACGTGGCATTGTGTGTGGCATGGTGTGTGGCATGGCATGCCATGTGGCATGGTATGAACGTGCGTGCAATGGAGTGGATGTCTCCTCGCATCAGTGTACACTCCAGTCATCAGCCCCGCGGCTGTGCACCTCTCTCCTTCCACTCCTCCCTTTCCCCCCCAACTCACCATTCTGTATTCCTTGCCTCGTCACACCATCCCCCAACTCATTCCCCCCTTTTTCCCTCTTTTCCCTTATTCCCCTCATCCCCCTCATCCCCCCTCATCCCCCTCATCCCCCTCATCCCCCTCATCCCCCTCATCCCCCTCATCCCCCTCATCCCCCTCATCCCCCTCATCCCCCTCATCCCCCTCATCCCCCTCATCCCCCTCATCCCCCTCATCCCCCTCATCCCCCTCATCCCCCTCATCCCCCTCATCCCCCTCATCCCCCTCATCCCCCTCATCCCCCTCATCCCCCTCATCCCCCTCATCCCCCTCATCCCCCTCATCCCCCTCATCCCCCTCATCCCCCTCATCCCCCTCATCCCCCCTCAAACTCCTCATCCCCCCTCAAACTCCTCATCCCCCTCATCCCCCCACCAACTGCTGCACGCTCAGCCCAACTGCATCCCACGCTGCTGGTAGCAGCAATGCTCTTCTTCCTCCACCCATCCCTCCCCTTCCCATCCCACCCCACCCCACCCCACCCCACCCCACCCCACCCGTCCCAGCCACCATCATGCACCTCTTCATCACCTCCCTCCTCCGCCTGCCCGCCTGCACAGCGGCCCTGCTCACCCGCCAGCTGGACGACGCGAGGGCGAACCCCAAGCTGGTGCTGCTGGCGCTCAAGGGCGGCGGGGCAGCGGCACTCACGGCGTCGCTGTGTGTGATCGATGTGGACGACCGCCTGCCGTCGCTTGCGTCCATCGGCGTGTGGGCTGTCGTCACCGTGGACCTCGTCTTCGAAGCCAACATCGGCCTCTCCCTCGGGTGAGCCTCAGCCTGCTGGGAGGATGAGGATATTGCTGGGAGGATGAGGCTTTTGCTGGGAGGATGAGGCTTTTGCTGGGAGAATGAGCCGATTTGTGAGACGACGCAGAAATCGCGTCCATTGGCGTGTGGGCCGTCGGCACCGTAAACCTCGTCTTTGAAGCCAACATCCTCCTCTCGCCCGGGTGAGTAACAATCCGCTCAGGTGAGGACGCTGCTGGGATGCGGCTTTTTCTGGGATGAGCTGATTTTGAGTCGATTCAGAAATCGCCTCCATCGGCGTGTGGGCTGTTGTTACTGTGGTCCTTGTGTTTGAAGCCAACATCGGCCTCTTGTTCGGGTGAGCGTCTCGTTTGGAGAAGCCTCTTGCCGGGATGACTGTTGTGAAATATTCCAGCAAGAGAGAAAAGGGGAAAGATGCACATGTTGAGCGCCGATGCACCAGAAGAGCAACACAGCGAAAGCAGGGCGGGTAGGGAAGGACTCACCTTGTTGGCTCAAGGCCAAAGCAAGCATGTGAGTGGGCGTGTCGGCTGAAGTGTGAATTGGTGAGATGGGGTCATCCAATCCAAGAGGATCAGGTTGACCTGGCTCACTGACCAGACCATGGTTGACCTGGCTCACTGACCAGACCATGGTTGACCTGGCTCACTGACCAGACCATGGTTGACCTGGCTCACTGACCAGACCATGGTTGAGTTGACTGCGGCTGGTTTCCTTCAACTCATTCATCTCCTCCGCCATGCCTGCCAACCCTCTCCTGCCCCCCCTGCCATCCCCACCTCCCCCCTCGTCTCTGTTTTGCCAGCAAGGGTGTGAACCGAGTGCTGGGCACGCTACTGGCGGGGGCAGCAGCGCTGGCGGTGACGCACATGGTCTCACTCATGGGGGGGTTGCACGTGGCCGTGCTGCTGCTGCTCGTCTTCCTGGGCGCCGCCCTCCCCATCTACTACCGCAACCGCCCGCCCTTCAAAGACAGGTGTGTGGAGGGGAGTTGGGTGGTTGGAGGGGGGAAAGGGGGGGGGGAGGGAGGGGAAGGCGGGGAAATGGGGGAAAAGCAGGGGAGAGTGGGGGAAGGAGGGGGGAAGTGGGGGAAACGTGGGGCGGCAGGCTAGCGGGGAAGAAAGTGGGTCATCAGGTGGTGGGCGATGGGGGCTTGGCGAGGGGGGTGGAGAGGGGAGGGAGGCATCGTTATCGAAAACGAAGGGGCAGGCAGCCTTGTCCCCAGCTCAGCACCCGGCCACTTCCCACCCTTCCCACCCATGCATCCCCTATCCCCACCCCACCCCACCCATCATGATGCTCACCTTCCACGTCCTGCCACTCTCCATGCACCATCCCCTCTCCATGCACCATCCCCTCTCCATGCACCATCCCCTCTCCATGCACCATCCCCTCTCCATGCACCATCCCCTCTCCATGCACCATCCCCTCTCCATGCACCATCCCCTCTCCATGCACCATCCCCTCTCCATGCACCATCCCCTCTCCATGCACCATCCCCTCTCCATGCACCATCCCCTCTCCATGCACCATCCCCTCTCCATGCACCATCCCCTCTCCATGCACCATCCCCTCTCCATGCACCATCCCCTCTCCATGCACCATCCCCTCTCCATGCACCATCCCCTCTCCATGCACCATCCCCTCTCCATGCACCATCCCCTCTCCATGCACCATCCCCTCTCCATGCACCATCCCCTCTCCATGCACCATCCCCTCTCCATGCACCATCCCCTCTCCATGCACCATCCCCTCTCCATGCACCATCCCCTCTCCATGCACCATCCCCTCTCCATGCACCATCCCCTCTCCATGCACCATCCCCTCTCCATGCACCATCCCCTCTCCATGCACCATCCCCTCTCCATGCACCATCCCCTCTCCATGCACCATCCCCTCTCCATGCACCATCCCCTCTCCATGCACCATCCCCTCTCCATGCACCATCCCCTCTCCATGCACCATCCCCTCTCCATGCACCATCCCCTCTCCATGCACCATCCCCTCTCCATGCACCATCCCCTCTCCATGCACCATCCCCTCTCCATGCACCATCCCCTCTCCATGCACCATCCCCTCTCCATGCACCATCCCCTCTCCATGCACCATCCCCTCTCCATGCACCATCCCCTCTCCATGCACCATCCCCTCTCCATGCACCATCCCCTCTCCATGCACCATCCCCTCTCCATGCACCATCCCCTCTCCATGCACCCATGCACCATCCCCTCTCCATGCACCATCCCCTCTCCATGCACCATCCCCTCTCCCCCTCCCCGTTCCCCCACGCCACCCTTCCCACCCATGCACCATTCTCTGTTCTCTCCTTCCCCCTCCTCCCCCCCGGCAGGTGGACGTAATATTGATGCTAACCTTCCACATCCGCTGCTCTCCACGTACCATCCCCTCTCCTAGCCCTCCCCGTCCCTCCCTCCCCCCTTTTCCCCTCCTCCCCCTCCTTCCTCCCCATGGGAGGACGTAGGCATGTGTGTGTCGTTCGTCCCCATGGGAGGACGTAGGCATGTTTGCGTCGTTTTACTGCACTGCCCCTCCCCATGTTGGACACACACAGCTCATCTTCCACATCCTCCCTCTCTCCACCTCGTCGCACGTCCACCGCATCACCCCTCCACTTCCCACCCCTATGCACCATCCCCTATCCCCTATTCCCCCCCCCTCTCTCACAGGTGGACGTACGCCATGACGATAATGATGCTCACCTTCCACATCCTGCTGCTCTCCACGTACCGCCACCCCGAGAAGCTGCGCCTGCCATTGGCGCGCTTCTCCATGATCCTGCTGGGCTTCCTCATCGCCGCGCTCATCAACCTCGCCCTCCTCCCCGCCTACGCCGGTGACACCCTGCACGCGCTGCTCTCCAAGAACTTTGACTCCGCTGCCACTCTGCTCACCAGGTGGGTGAGGGGCGACTCATGTTGAGCTGATGGGAAAAATTAGTGTCTGAATTCATTGTGTCTGAATTCATTGTGTCTGAATTCATTGTGTCTGAATTCATTGTGTCTGAATTCATTGTGTCTGAATTCATTGTGTCTGAATTCATTGTGTCCGAATTCATTGTGTCCGAATTCATTGTGTCTGAATTCATTGTGTCCGAATTCATTGTGTCCGAATTCATTGTGTCCGAATTCATTGTGTCTGAATTCATTGTGTCTGAATTCATTGTGTCTGAATTCATTGTGTCTGAATTCATTGTGTCTGAATTCATTGTGTCTGGTACCAAAAAAATGGATCCTTAGTTCTACGAATGTAGCGTCATTGTTGGAGGGCTGCACTGCACGGTCATTGTTGGAGGGCTGCACTGCACGGTCATTGTTGGAGGGCTGCACTGCACGGTCATTGTTGGAGGGCTGCACTGCACGGTCATTGTTGGAGGGCTGCACTGCACGGTCATTGTTGGAGGGCTGCACTGCACGGTCATTGTTGGAGGGCTGCACTGCACGGTCATTGTTGGAGGGCTGCACTGCACGGTCATTGTTGGAGGGCTGCACTGCACGGTCATTGTTGGAGGGCTGCACTGCACGGTCATTGTTGGAGGGCTTCACTGCACGGTCATTGTTGGAGGGCTGCACTGCACGGTCATTGTTGGAGAACTGCACTGCACGGTCTACAACCGGACAAGCAGTCACATTGTGGTGCCTTAGCATCAAGCAGAGACTCTTCACATTTGATGCGTCTCTGTACTTGAGGTGCTGCTCTGACTCAGTGGGAGTGTGAGTGAGACAATAATGATTTCCTCTGCTGGGGCGCCACTGTGCGGTTGGCAGGTGTGTGGAGGAGTACGAGCGGGGCACGGTGTGGCGCCACGTGCCCACCCTGTGGAGCATGCGCACGGGGTTGGCAGGGGGGGCGGGCGCGCAGGGAGGCGTGGGGGACGGCAGTGGGGGGGAGAAGCTGCGGGAGATGTACCATGCCATTGTCATGAGCGACGCTGAGGTCGACAAACACGTGCGTGCTGCTTCTTCATGTGCTGCTTCTTCATGTGCTGCTTCTTCATGTGCTGCTTCTTCATGTGCTGCTTCTTCATGTGCTGCTTCTTCATGTGCTGCTTCTTCATGTGCTGCTTCTTCATGTGCTGCTTCTTCATGTGCTGCTTCTTCATGTGCTGCTTCTTCATGTGCTGCTTCTTCATGTGCTGCTTCTTCATGTGCTGCTTCTTCATGTGCTGCTTCTTCATGTGCTGCTTCTTCATGTGCTGCTTCTTCATGTGCTGCTTCTTCATGTGCTGCTTCTTCATGTGCTGCTTCTTCATGTGCTGCTTCTTCATGTGCTGCTTCTTCATGTGCTGCTTCTTCATGTGCTGCTTCTTCATGTGCTGCTTCTTCATGTGCTGCTTCTTCATGTGCTGCTTCTTCATGTGCTGCTTCTTCATGTGCTGCTTCTTCATGTGCTGCTTCTTCATGTGCTGCTTCTTCATGTGCTGCTTCTTCATGTGCTGCTTCTTCATGTGCTGCTTCTTCATGTGCTGCTTCTTCATGTGCTGCTTCTTCATGTGCTGCTTCTTCATGTGCTGCTTCTTCATGTGCTGCTTCTTCATGTGCTGCTTCTTCATGTGCTGCTTCTTCATGTGCTGCTTCTTCATGTGCTGCTTCTTCATGTGCTGCTTCTTCATGTGCTGCTTCTTCATGTGCTGCTTCTTCATGTGCTGCTTCTTCATGTGCTGCTTCTTCATGTGCTGCTTCTTCATGTGCTGCTTCTTCATGTGCTGCTTCTTCATGTGCTGCTTCTTCATGTGCTGCTTCTTCATGTGCTGCTTCTTCATGTGCTGCTTCTTCATGTGCTGCTTCTTCATGTGCTGCTTCTTCATGTGCTGCTTCTTCATGTGCTGCTTCTTCATGTGCTGCTTCTTCATGTGCTGCTTGCTCTACACCACACTGCTTGTCGTTCTGCTTTCCACTCTTGCTCCCTTTTTCTGCCTCCTCCACCCTTGCTTTCACGCTTGTCCCCGAACCTCTCCCCCTCCCTTTGCCCCTCCTCCCTCCCATGGCGTGAGCCATCATTCCCGTTGAGTCACCTCTTGCAGCTTTGTCTCTTCACCGCAGTCCTCTCACATGCTTGGTCTCTTCACCGCAGTCCTCTCACATGCTTGGTCTATTCACCGCAGTCCTCTCACATGCTTTGTCCCTCAGCTGGCGGCGCTGCTCTTCGAGCCGCCGCACGGCCGCTTCTTCGCGGGCTACCCGTGGCAGCTGTACGATGACGTCAGCGACACGCTGCGCTGCCTGGTGTATGACGTCATCGCGCTGGACTCCAGCCTGAGGGCGGAGATCCAGGCACCACTGGTGCTGCGGCGGTTGGTGGGGCGCGAGATGACTGCCATCGCCCACGAGTGCAGCAGGTGATGCGAGGGATGGAGCAGGGAAGGGTGGGGGGGGGGGGGGGGGGAGGGAAGAAGGGAGTGGGTGGTGCAGCAGGTGAGGTTACGAGCACAGCAGTCTCTTTGCCTGCTTTTCTTCCCCCTCGCGCTTCTCTTTGCCTCCACTTGCTCCGCTACTTCCCTCCCTCTGCACACCCTTTCCCAGCCTCCGTTTTGTGCCACCCCTTCTTCTTTCCATCCGTGCCTCCCGTCCCGCAGCCTGCAGGCCTATCTGTCGCAGGCAGTGCGTCCTTCCCTCCTCTCCTTGCTTCTGTCTGCCTTTCCTGCTTTCCACCTTCCCTCCTCTCCTTGCTTCTCTCTGCCTTTCCTGCTTTCCACCTTCCCTCCTGTCCTTGCTTCTCTCTGCCTTTCCTGCTTTCCACCTTCCCTCCTGTCCTTGCTTCTCTCTGCCTTTCCTGCTTTCCACCTTCCCTCCTGTCCTTGCTTCTCTCTGCCTTTCCTGCTTTCCACCTTCCCTCCTGTCCTTGCTTCTCTCTGCCTTTCCTGCTTTCCACCTTCCCTCCTGTCCTTGCTTCTCTCTGCCTTTCCTGCTTTCCACCTTCCCTCCTGTCCTTGCTTCTCTCTGCCTTTCCTGCTTTCCACCTTCCCTCCTGTCCTTGCTTCTCTCTGCCTTTCCTGCTTTCCACCTTCCCTCCTGTCCTTGCTTCTCTCTGCCTTTCCTGCTTTCCACCTTCCCTCCTGTCCTTGCTTCTCTCTGCCTTTCCTGCTTTCCACCTTCCCTCCTGTCCTTGCTTCTCTCTGCCTTTCCTGCTTTCCACCTTCCCTCCTGTCCTTGCTTCTCTCTGCCTTTCCTGCTTTCCACCTTCCCTCCTGTCCTTGCTTCTCTCTGCCTTTCCTGCTTTCCACCTTCCCTCCTGTCCTTGCTTCTCTCTGCCTTTCCTGCTTTCCACCTTCCCTCCTGTCCTTGCTTCTCTCTGCCTTTCCTGCTTTCCACCTTCCCTCCTGTCCTTGCTTCTCTCTGCCTTTCCTGCTTTCCACCTTCCCTCCTGTCCTTGCTTCTCTCTGCCTTTCCTGCTTTCCACCTTCCCTCCTGTCCTTGCTTCTCTCTGCCTTTCCTGCTTTCCACCTTCCCTCCTGTCCTTGCTTCTCTCTGCCTTTCCTGCTTTCCACCTTCCCTCCTGTCCTTGCTTCTCTCTGCCTTTCCTGCTTTCCACCTTCCCTCCTGTCCTTGCTTCTCTCTGCCTTTCCTGCTTTCCACCTTCCCTCCTGTCCTTGCTTCTCTCTGCCTTTCCTGCTTTCCACCTTCCCTCCTGTCCTTGCTTCTCTCTGCCTTTCCTGCTTTCCACCTTCCCTCCTGTCCTTGCTTCTCTCTGCCTTTCCTGCTTTCCACCTTCCCTCCTGTCCTTGCTTCTCTCTGCCTTTCCTGCTTTCCACCTTCCCTCCTGTCCTTGCTTCTCTCTGCCTTTCCTGCTTTCCACCTTCCCTCCTGTCCTTGCTTCTCTCTGCCTTTCCTGCTTTCCACCTTCCCTCCTGTCCTTGCTTCTCTCTGCCTTTCCTGCTTTCCACCTTCCCTCCTGTCCTTGCTTCTCTCTGCCTTTCCTGCTTTCCACCTTCCCTCCTGTCCTTGCTTCTCTCTGCCTTTCCTGCTTTCCACCTTCCCTCCTGTCCTTGCTTCTCTCTGCCTTTCCTGCTTTCCACCTTCCCTCCTGTCCTTGCTTCTCTCTGCCTTTCCTGCTTTCCACCTTCCCTCCTGTCCTTGCTTCTCTCTGCCTTTCCTGCTTTCCACCTTCCCTCCTGTCCTTGCTTCTCTCTGCCTTTCCTGCTTTCCACCTTCCCTCCTGTCCTTGCTTCTCTCTGCCTTTCCTGCTTTCCACCTTCCCTCCTGTCCTTGCTTCTCTCTGCCTTTCCTGCTTTCCACCTTCCCTCCTGTCCTTGCTTCTCTCTGCCTTTCCTGCTTTCCACCTTCCCTCCTGTCCTTGCTTCTCTCTGCCTTTCCTGCTTTCCACCTTCCCTCCTGTCCTTGCTTCTCTCTGCCTTTCCTGCTTTCCACCTTCCCTCCTGTCCTTGCTTCTCTCTGCCTTTCCTGCTTTCCACCTTCCCTCCTGTCCTTGCTTCTCTCTGCCTTTCCTGCTTTCCACCTTCCCTCCTGTCCTTGCTTCTCTCTGCCTTTCCTGCTTTCCACCTTCCCTCCTGTCCTTGCTTCTCTCTGCCTTTCCTGCTTTCCACCTTCCCTCCTGTCCTTGCTTCTCTCTGCCTTTCCTGCTTTCCACCTTCCCTCCTGTCCTTGCTTCTCTCTGCCTTTCCTGCTTTCCACCTTCCCTCCTGTCCTTGCTTCTCTCTGCCTTTCCTGCTTTCCACCTTCCCTCCTGTCCTTGCTTCTCTCTGCCTTTCCTGCTTTCCACCTTCCCTCCTGTCCTTGCTTCTCTCTGCCTTTCCTGCTTTCCACCTTCCCTCCTGTCCTTGCTTCTCTCTGCCTTTCCTGCTTTCCACCTTCCCTCCTGTCCTTGCTTCTCTCTGCCTTTCCTGCTTTCCACCTTCCCTCCTGTCCTTGCTTCTCTCTGCCTTTCCTGCTTTCCACCTTCCCTCCTGTCCTTGCTTCTCTCTGCCTTTCCTGCTTTCCACCTTCCCTCCTCCTATTCTCCTCACCTCCTCCCCATCTTCCCCCCTTCCCCCTCCCCTCATCGCTGCAGCACGCTGGCCTATCGGGCACAGGTGGGTCGCTCATTCACGTGGGCGGAGTCAATTTTGACTCGACTCAGAATTCTCCCCACTCCGTGCCACCCCTGCTCCTCCCTCTGCGCAACCTGTTGCCAGCACGCTGGCCTACCTGGCGCACTCAGTGCGCTCATTCACGTGGCCGGGGCCGCCCGACTCGCTGTTTCGCGCCGAGGAAGCTGCCATGAAGCTGCAGCACCGGCTGTCGAAGCACATCAACCTCATCCTCATGCTGCCTCCGCCCTCCCTCGCCCACCGCCCCTTGGCGCTCTCCCGCCTCTCTGAGGGCGGAGGAGGGAGCCTTGGGGGCGCCGGAGTCGTTGGAGGGGATGGGGACGCGTTTGACCGACTGGTGGTGAATGGGGGGGACGAAGGGGGTGAGGGGGGCGACGATGGGGATGGGGGGTGGGCGGAGGATGGGGAGGCGGTGGTGAAGAGCTGCATTGACATGGGTGGCGAGGAGGATAAGGGCGAGGGCGAGCAGGGGAGAGGGCAGACAAGGCTGGCGGAATCTGCTTCGCCCAGGGCAAAGAGGTGAGGCGTGCGGGCATGAGGGGAGTGCCGCACCTGCAATTGTGACAAACCTGCAATTGTGACAAACCTGCAATTGTGACAACCTGCAATTGTGACAACCCTGCAATTGTGACAACCTGCAATTGTGACAACCTGCAATTGTGACAACCTGCAATTGTGACAACCTGCAATTGTGACAACCTGCATGAAGAGAGTGTCGTTGTGAATTTGCATGTCTTCTTTCCCCCTCCACTGCTACCCGAATCCCCACCCTCTCCTTCCACTTCCCTGTCTCTTCCCCGCATGCAGGCTGTCCCGCCCCGGCAGTCCTCTCTGCCTCTCCCCCCGCCACCCCCACGGCCTCTCACCCTCCCCCAGCACCACGGCTCCGGGCTCGTATGCACCAGCACACAGGGCAGCGGTGGCAGCAGCAAGCACAGCAGCAGCAATGGGCACCCTCACGCCCTCGGAGATGTCACTGGCAGAGGGGCTGGCCGGCTATGCTGCCACATGGGGACCGGCTGGTGGGCAGGGCGATGCAGGAGCACCGGCGGGCGGCACGGGGAGTGTGGGCGGCACGGGGACTGTGGGCGGCACGGGGAGTGTGGGTGGCATGGGGCCGAAGAAGCCGTCGGTTGCGGAGTGGCGGCAGGAGCTGCTGCAGCGGCAGGCGTCGATGGGCGGTGCGTGGGACTGCACGGTGGAGCGCATTGCAGCACTGTCACTGGTGAAGGTGGCTGCGCTGCTGCTGGAGGTGGTGGCCAAACTGCACTTCGTGGTGCAGCGATCCGAGGAGCTTGCTCTTGCTGCCCGCTTCGATGTGACCGGGCACTCCTAGCTGTGTGCTTTTGTGAGCTCTCATAGGCGCATCGCAACGTTGTCGCTGGTGAAGGTGGAGGCGCTGCTGCTGCAGGTGGTAGCCAAGCAGCACTCTGTGGTGCAGCCATCTGAGGAGCTGGCGCTTGGTGCCTGCTTCGATGTGATGGGGCACTCTTAGCTGTGTGGGAGGAAGGTCATAGAGACACAAATGGACAGGGTTGGCAGTGAGATTGTAACTTCAACCCTCCAGCACAGGATGGTTGAAAGGTTTCTGAGCCTGAAATTGTCCAGAACAGGGTTACCCAGTTTGGCCTGAACCCCTGTTATGTGTGCAATGTAACGAGCAAATGAGTACCGTAATCAGCCGGATATAAGAACCTAGGGCAAATGGGTTCTTAATAAATGGCACTAAAACTTTTTGAACCTGGGGTCTTAAATTATGGACTTCTTTTAAGATGAACTGTAGAACGAATGGGTGTTTGTTGTTCATGAAGCTGGTTGTACTTTGCAGCTTGTTTTTTAACATGGGCGAGGGCGCGAATGTGTTTTAACTTACGTTTAGGAAGGACAGGCTAGGCGTCAGAATGGTGGATTAGGGCAAAGGGGAGGGGTACATAGAGAGTGTCGAGTGAAATTGTGTACCTCCTAGCATGCAACGCACCAGTCGGGAGCAATGTCACCCTGCGGATTTCCCTCAGCATTGTCGCCGTCCTCGACTGACACCACATGCAGCTCGACATGAAGAATGCCTTCCTGCAGAGCAAGCTCGATCGCGTGCTCTACATGGACCAGCCGGCTTACTACAACGATGGCACCGGCCGCGTATGCAAGCTGCTGAAGAGCTTGTACGGGCTGAAGCAGAGCCCTCTGGCGTGGTTTTCGGCGCTCGATGCCGTGCTGACGGGCGCTGGCTGGAGAAAGAGCTAGGTCGACGAGGCTCTCTATTTCAGAGTTGGCGACGACGGAATGGCGTGCTAGGTGCTCGTCTTCGTCGATGATCTACTCGCCGCTAGCAGCAGCACCGCGATGCTGAAGGAGCTGAAGGAGCTGTTGGAGGCCGCCTTTGAGCTGCGCGAGATCACCCCGGTCGAGAAGTATTTGGGGCTCGAAATCGTGCGTAACCAACCTGCGCGTAAGCTGTGGCTGCACCAGTAGTCCTACCTACGTCGACAAACTGCGTAGGCGCTTTATCAACGAGGAGCAGTCTGGTCGGTGTCCGAATACGCCTGTTTCCGTCGATGCCTATGCCGAGCCGACTTTCAACGACGAGGACTTCCAGTCGCGTGAAGAAGAGGAGTGCCGTCAGAAGGTCGGTTCGCTGCAGTTCGCCGCCACGACAGCTTGGCCCAACATCGCATTCGCGTGCAGCAAGTTGGGGTCCGGTTTGACAGCGAGGAGCAACCAGCACTGGCGCAAGGTCGATCGCTACCTCACCTATGCGATGTTGCTCACGAGTTCGGCGGCGGAACGGAGACTCTGGTGGGCTACGCAGACGCCGGCGACGTGGGCGAAAATCAGACGCGCAGTAGCACGAATCGCTATGTTTTCACCTTCGGCGGCGCAGCTGTTTCCTAGATGAGCCAACGCATCAAGTGCGTGACTTTGTCCTCTACGGAGTCTGAGTACATCGCGGCCACCGAAGCCGACAAGGAGGCTCGTCGACTTCGATTCCTCGTCGCCGAGTTCCAACTTCTCGACGCTCGGATGCCACTGCTCTGAATGTGGACAATCAGTCCGCCATCCCAGTCGCTGAGGGCTTGGGGCTGAAGGGCAACCTCAAGCACATGGAGCGACGCTACGCCTGGCTGCAGCAGATGGTGAAGCGCAAGAAGATTGCACTGGAATACGTCCCGACTTCCGAGTAGCCAACAAATTTCCTCACGAAGGCGCTGCACTTTCCGGCCTTCAACCGGTGCTCCGTCGTGATAGGCCAAGTTCGACTTGCCAACGTCGGCGACGATGACGTCGTGCAGCAGTAGGCGGCATGTCCTCCAACATGGCTGCTGCAGTGATCGACGTGCGAGGGTGTGCACGCCGACGAAATATCCCTTGTCTTCTATTACGTAGGTTCTGGGTGGACCTTGTGCCTGGGGTCCATGCTTGAGCTGGGCAGGGGAGCGTCGAGGAGAAAAGGCATTGCCGTTGCTTGGGCGAAGTTGGCCATGCTTTTCGGAGCGCAACGATGTTCATTCAGTGGTCATCGACGACTTTGAGGACTTCTATCTCTGTGCAACAGCCTTTGGGACTCTGATCTCTGTGGGACGGGTCGTCTTTCAACGAGATTAATTCGTCGAAGTCGAAGTGATGTTTCTGCTCTATTGTCGACGGGAGGAAATCGGTGTCGAAATCGAGCCTCACGGGTCGACTAAATTGTAGATATTAACGTTTCGATGAAAATTTGGTTGACGGAATTAAGCTCGAAAAAGGCATCGTTAAGTGGAGCGGTATGGTTGACCGAAATTACTTGTCTCCGAAATTCGCAATGTGCGCGAATTTCGACCAATCGCGAAACGACAAATTTCGATAAATCATATGCTCTTGGAATTTGTACTCTGCAGGAGAATTCGAATTAGTAAGGAAAATGAACCTTAAATACGTTCTTACTAACAGTAAAAACATATACAAGTCTGAATGTTGTAAACCTGAACAACTGCCAACTCAGGTGAAAGACACATGTGCTTGTCGTTTCACATGCCGTTGCTGACCCGACAAAGGTGTATGCTTGTCGAGGAACGTTTCTCCAGGGTTCATTGTCTTTGCTATTTGGTTCTCCTTGCTTGTACCATAATCTTGTTCAATCAACTTTTCCTACTGGTTGAATTCTACGAAGGCAACTGAGTTCACTCCTGAGATTCACTGCCAGAGCTTTATCCGTGTGTCCTACGTTAGTTAAGTTTTGTACAATAATCTTCTCCGCATCGCCGCAGCTAGCCTGTTTAAAAAAAGTTGCTGCCACGTGCAGACACCTCGTTTCCCCTCATGCGCACGAATCACCTAAACCCATGAAGCAGTACGCGAAGTGACTAGTGTGTATGAAAACGACACGTGTATGTGAGGGCTTCTTCCGATGTTTTCCGCGTAAGGTATGGGGGGAGCAACAGCCAACGAACATTCACCAAGCGTTTGGTAATCGATACGTTTTCTATGGTATGTTCCACTTGGTAGCGATGCGGCCAATATCATACATACACCCTATTTTCGATAATTGCACACTCCATAATCGCACACACGGGGGGTACATACCCTAGGTACAACTTTCTCACATGGTATTTCACGGCGTGCGTTGAATTATTGGGGGACTCTCTTGCACCCCTCTCACGAATTGCGTAAAGCAACAAGAACTCAACCCCCCTCCCTCCTCACTCGAAACTGATTGCAAAAGTTTTCAGACACTGCACATTCCGGCTGTCGATTGGTAGTCCCCGAATTTCTGGATGTTTGTCGTATCGAGCCAGAATCGGTTTGGGGTATCTTTAAAACAGAGGGTAGGGGCAATTATCAAAAATAGCGTGTACTCAAAGTTTGCCTGAGAGCATTTGCAGGGGTAATCAAGCGAATAGGAAACCTAATAGTGACACTGTTCCAAGTAGAGCCACGCATTTGTGCTGGCGCGCCACCCACGCACCTTCACCGGTTGACCAACCTTAGTTCACTACAGTGCAGGGAATATAGGCACGTCAGAAGCGAGTCGCACACCTTGCACACAAATGGCTCCAATTCGAGCCCCAAACCATAATGGCCGCCTCCTCCCACCCCCATACGGTGTTGGAAATGGACACTGGAATGGCCCAAAATGGTCTTCCCAAGGGCTACAGGTGTCGTCCTGGGAGGGTATGGGTGCGCTGACCCACCAAGTAAACATGCCCTTTTAGCCCAGTTGGTTAGCAAACTAGACTAAATGGAGAAGTGGGGAAGAGACCAGGGTTCATTTCCTACTGTCGGCAGTTTTTCTGTGCCCTAGTGGTGGGCCCTCCTAGTGAGGGGAGTGTTGGAAATGGACACTGGAATGGCCCAAAGTGGTCTTCCCAAGGGCTACAGGTGTCGTCCCGGGAGGGTATGTGTGCGCTGACCCACCAAATAAACATGCCCTCTTAGCCCGGTTGGTTAGCGAACTGGACGTACGGAACATGCGAGAACTCACCGGTACTCTTTGCGAAGCTCGCTCCTGCAAAGTCTTTTGTTTTCGATTGGGATTATCGGGACAAGCAGAAGCCGTCGAAACAAAATAAAACGACCATTGAAACACATACACATATCTATATGAATTGTGGCAAATATTCATGAAACACTTATATAATGAGAGAGAGAGAGAGAGAGAGAGAGAGAGAGAGAGAGAGAGAGAGAGAGAGAGAGAGAGAGAGAGAGAGAGGGAGAGGCATAAATATAAGTATAAATATATAAATAAAAAGTTTAGGGTTGCTGCCCACGTCCCTGTGTGGTGTACGACTCGCTTCTGACATGCCTGTACACCTGATGCTCGTTTGAGTCACCCATGGTTGCCTTGTGAAGAGGAAGCTTAAGTGATTCTTGCATTTCGCAAAGGTTTTGTCTTTTAGCAGCTAGGATTCGTCAGGTGCTTATAAAATAATTGTAACTTACCAATTGACATTTTGACTTCAGTCCCTTCGTTACTATTGGTTCAGAATCATTGCAACTTGCGCGGGGTGCTTGTAGCGTGGGTGCAACTGGCTGAGGTAAAAAACACGGGTGCAGGCTTTCCATCCGGTGCTTGTACCTGCACTGTAGTGTACCAAGGTTGGCCAACTGGTGAAGCTTTGTGGGTGGCGCGCCAGACATTTTTTTGCTGAGAACAGTTCCTCTGTTAGGCTTACTGTTCGCGTGATTTCACCTGCAAACGCGCTTAGGCAAACTGAGTTTGATACATGTGACTAACCCAAGGTGGCACACGATGCCCGTTTGACTAACCCAAGGTTGCCTTGTGAAGAGGGCTCTTAAGTGATTCTTGCATTTCGCTAAGCTTTCGTCAATTCGCACTTAGCAAAAAGGGCTTTTAAAAGA